GAGTTCAGATAGCCAAATTAGAGTCCGTGTCTTGCAACTACCGGTCTGGGCACTCACAACATTGAGATTACTTGTGATCGTTAACCCGGCAGGCGGTGGGCCTCCCAGCCACCTTCCGCGCGGTGGGGGGGGGGCATTTTTTTGCCCCCCCCCCCCTCGTATCTCCGAAACTACTGGACGGATCCGGAAAACTCAAACGGCGTTCGATAGCCCTGTCAAATTTGTTGAAGGAAACCAAATTTCATTGACCTCGGGGTCACCGATGACGTCACAGGTCAGGTCAACGATAAAATGTTTCACCTTTCACGGGCATCTAGGGAAAGCGCTATAACACCGAGTAAAACGCATTTTGTCGAAAATCAGCGATAGGGCGTCAGTTGTCTAGTACATATGTTGCTTTTAGAGGTCACTGGTCATACCAGGTCAGGTCACAGGTCAGGTCACCAAAGGTCACCAAGGGTCACCACATGAACCCAACTTTACTAAGGTTGTGCGATGCTGTTTTATGGCCAGTTTTTCATTTCCAACTCAATGGTATTGGACTATTGGTTATAAGACCATCAGGCACGGTTTAGGTCACTTTCTGGTGGAGGTCAGGTCAAGGTCAGGCCAAAAAAGGTCAAATTTCAAAGTTAATATGTTTGCATAAAATGGGTATCGATTAACGATGCAGCTCGTCACGGGGAGTCTAATGGTTGTCTTTGTTTTGCGCTACGAGGTCTAGAATTGCTATAAATTAAGTTTGAAAATTTGACGTCATCAATTTTAAACAGTTTTTTTCTATAACTTGGTCAAAAAAAGAGGCATTGATCTCAAATTTGGTATGTAGATAGAAGGCGGTAGGGACTATCACATATATTCCGGTTTTTTCGAAATTCAAAAAAACGTTTTGGATTTTTCGGCTATTATATTCAAAAAATCTATTTTTTATTTTTGGGGGTCAAAATCCCAAAAATTCGAAAAACCGAAATAGCAGTTGTTTTGTAGCCCTCTTGATTCCACACCTTTTATGTTGGAAACATTTTTCTGTATCTCTAAAGCTGTAGGCCTGAGAGCTCTTCCCGCGAAACCTTTTTTTGGGGTCGAAAATGGCAAAAATGACGTCACTCTGACGTCATTAGCGGCCAACCTATCAAAACCTTTGCAAAAAAAATTGGTCACCATGTGCGCTAGCTACTCCCGGGAGGGTACTGAAAGTTTGGTGACGATCGGCGCAGCGGTTCTCGAGATATATCGAAAAAACTAAATGGGGGGGAAATGCCCCCCCCCCCCCACCGCCTGGAAGGTTAACGCTCGCGTGATTTGCCATGAAATTTGGGATCGATCACAGGAGATTCGTGACTATAGGGCATCTAGAAGCGATGCGTGAGAAGAAATAAGTTCAGAGAGTTTGAGGTCACAGAGAGGTAGGAGAGTTGGAGTTGGAGGTCACAATTAGAAGTTACAGAGGTCATCTGGGACACTTCAGGTCACAGAGGTCCACTTCGGGTCATCACAGAGGTCATCTGGGATACGTCAGGTCACAGAGGTCAACTTGGGGTCATCACAGAGCTCAATTGGTGATCACGGAAGTAATCTGAAACACGTCAGGTCACAGAGGGCAGCTTGGGGACACGTCAGGTCACATAGGTCAACTTTGGGTCATCACAGAGCTCAATTGGGGTCATCTGGGACACGTCAGGTCACAGAGGTCAGCTTGGAGTCATCAAAGAGCTCAATTGGAGGTCACGGAGGTCATCTGGGACATGTCAAGTCACAGGGGTCAACTTGGGGATCATCCAGAGCACTGTTGGAGGTCATGGGGGTCATCTGGAACACGTCAGGTCACAGAGGTCAGCTTTGGGTCATCACAGAGCTCAATTGGAAGTCAGGGGGTCATCTGGGACACGTCAGGTCACAGACGTCAGCTTGGGGTCATCAGAGAGGTCACTTATAGGTCACAGAGGTCTTATGGGACACGTCAAGTCACAGAGGTCAGTTTGGGGTAATCTCAGAGCTCAAATTGAGGTCAGCTGGGACACGTCAGGTCACAGAGGTCAGCTTGGAGTCATCAGTGAGCTCTATTGGAGGTCACGGAGGTCATCTGTTACACGTCAGGTCACAGAGGTCAGCTTGGGGTCATCAGAGAGATCACTTACAGGTAGCAAACCACATAGTTGTGTAAACGCTTCACTGTCTGGTCTGTTCGTATGTACCCCACTTCAAGTCCATATGGGTCCCATTTTGAATGGCTAGCTGGGGATAGAGCAATGGAATGTCATGAGTGAATGAGGCGAATCAACGTGAAGTAAAATTCAAAATAGGGTAGGGTGGGGTAAAGTGCCCACTCTAACTTCTCAGCCTCAGTATCTAAGATGTAGCCTAAGCACGTATCTCCGACACTTGAGCAAAGTATTAACGCATACACGCTTCTGTGTGCGCGGCTGTGTTGCCCGCTATTTATGTGCTGCCGTTTCAGATCAGTGACTCCACACTCCGCCGGCAGTGTGCGGGGGCGGGGCGGGCTCCGCGGCGTCTACGCACCGCCCGCGGGTCAGCGGTGACGGCTGACCTCTGACCCCGCGACCGACAAGGTCGACAGAGAGCGTTCACCGAGGAGGGTGACCGAGGGTCGCGGGCCGCCGTCCTCCGCCGGCTTCCGCGCCACGCCGGGGCGGCGCGCAGGAGCACAAACACGTCTCTCCTACTGAAATAATGGCAGTCCGTGGCCTGAGTCTAAAACAGAATAATTATGGTCTTCAGCGGCCCTGTCAGACTTATGCGGTCACATCTGAACAGCATTCGCTTTACGAACCCCGGGCACTAGCCGAGGGTGTGGGTAATGCAGTGGGGATACTCGGCGTCGAATCGAAAGAAAACGCAAATATAAGCGCAAACAACCCTCCTGGAGCTCATAGGGTATCATTCTCACAATAAGCCTGGACTGCAGTCTGCAACAATGCTATGAGACAGTCACTTGTGATTGGTTACGTGACTGCCCGGCAGAGGCGCCCTATTCGGCCGCCAGGGGTGCTGGTGCTGAGGACCGGACGGTGCCCCTGCACGTTCCTGGACAGCACACTGCAAATATCATAGTCGCAGCACCAAACACCGCACTTTCGCGACCACCAAGACCCCCACTCTTTGTGCAGATTGTTTGTATCACAACTCATGTCAAACAATGCGCACCCTCCAGCTGCATCTCTACCTAGGCTCGTCACAAAGCTTTTGTTTGTTTCGTGTTGTCCGGAGCAAACTCTTCGGTCTGAATAGGCCGTTGCAGAGCTATGCGATGATAGGATACTTCTCACAGATGCACAGTGCACACAGTGCTGAGTACCTACCTACCTACATAGCCAGTTACAATTACCGAAACTTCAGATGCCTGCTGTTGCGGCCGAACCTGTTAGTGTTGACACTACTTAGGTAATCGTGATCCATATTCCATATATGTAGATGTCATGATGCACGAAAAGTAAGATCAATCACTTAAAGCCAAAGACGCGTTTCAGGGCATATTTTAACAAATTTTTACTGCGGATCCCAAAGTTGAGCAGAGGGCACGTGCTACGACTAAGGGCACAGAGCAAGGAACAGAGTAGGGCACTGAGGAGGGCCGAGAAAGTAGGACACGGCAGGTTGCAAGGCATGGCACAGGACATTTTAAAGGGAAGGCCGGGTACAGGTCAGGGCAGACAGCAGAGCACATGTCAGGGAACCGGACAGGGCAGGGACGCAGTGGGTCAAATCAGCAGGGGCTGCGTCCCAAGGCGAGGGGGCTGCGTCCCAAAATGGGACGCAGTAAGTGCCTTAAAATATGCTCTGACGTGTTTTATGCATGGTAGACCTAGACCGTATTATAGTAAGGTGTAGATACTGGAGTTTGTGGACCAACAGCAACATGCCGCCGTGGCAGAGCCAGAGACTGTCCCTTTGGGACGGGAATGATGCGGACAGCCTTCCCCGCCGCCCAAATGGTCACTCACCCTTGAGGTCTGAGGCTGTAAGTGTAGTGTCCACTGCCCAAGCTGTAACCATGGTCGGCAAGATTACTTTACTACTCTGGTCGGGCACCATATCGACTGGGACACGAGGAAGACTAACAGTGTACACATACCTAGTGTAGTATAACTTTTAAAGGAAATAGTTCACTTTCACGAAATTATATTTTTTGCAATGGATTTATGATTTTTTATGTTCAAAATGATCAGCAAAAAAATAAAACCTTTTTATAACAAAATATTATTTTCTATATTTTTGATATAGGAAGAACTTTTCAGTTTCTGTAAGGCACACGCGATCCAGTATGAAAAGAGCATGGGTCCCGAAAATTCTTCAGAAGCTAGAGAAATTATCGCGGCCACCGGCATTTGGGCGATCTGCTCATGCTTTTGTTACTGGAGCGCCTCTGAAGAATTTTCTGAATAATTTTCTTTTGTTACTGGAGCGTTTCTGAAGAATTTTCGGGACCCATGCTCGTTTCATACTGGATGCAAATATATGCAAGGCACACAACCTCGACGCAAGGCACCTTTTTCGGGACGAGAAATAGAATATCTTTGCCTAGGGTGATCGTTGGGCTGTAAAAGCTCCTGATTTATGCTCGTCTCAGCCCAAGCTACGGAACTGCTATTCCAGTTAAAAACCCATGTTGAAATGTGAACTATTTCCTTTAAGCTTTTTTTGCCTAAAATTGCCATGAGTTTGTATTTGCTATTGCTCGTCAGTGTGCAAAGGAGCAAATACAAATTCATTCATACAAACTATAGGTTTTTTGCTTTCTGGATGTTTGAGAAAGGAGTAAAACAATTTAGTAGTTGAAGGCTTTGGCAGCAATATTTTAAAGTTTTGGATTGTCGATGATCAATTTTGAAAAATTGTTTGATTATAAAGTCATTCAAAAATTTCCAAAAAGTCGAAATAAATGTTTTTGCACATAATGTGAGGAAAAGCTCTCAAACTTGGGGATAAAAGCCATTCTTGCCATCGCACCAGCTGACAAATATCTGTACAGTGCTTCCATATGGGGATTACGTAAGCGCCTACCCCATGCCTACCCATTGATGCTGCTCATCGGAAACTCGCCAAGATGGCGGACGTGAGTACATTTTCTGGCTTATTTTACATTTTTCCAGTTCAATTTCTGGTCAAACATGTCGTATTTTCGTATAATGAATTTCGGCGCGTATATTGATATTACTTCTGTGAATGATCGTGCGGCATATCAGTGTTATTTATGTCCAACATTTTTGCGCCGTAATTCAGTAGGCGGAACTATGGTCATGAGTACCCAAATATAGGAACGTTCCCATTTTTGGGAACGGAGTTCCCAAATATGGGAACGGGCGTTCCCATTTATGAGAACGGAAGGCAATTTTTCGGCCGTTCGCCCACTAAAACTCAAAAGTGCATCACGTCTCAAAAAAGTGCACGCTGATTTAAGTATCTACTAAATCTCCATAAAGTTATCTTTAATCTGACCGTGGAACAAGGAAATTGACCGTGGAATGATATTTTTAATGATTTTTTAAAAATGACAGAATGGTGGAAATATGGGTTATACGACATTTAACATGCAATTTTAAGGAAAATGAAGCATTTTTTACATTTTGAGGTCAAGTATAATAATTTTCGCCTGGTTATGAAATTTCATTCTAGCGACACCAGATGCTGACATATGCAAGCGAACACGCGGACAGTCCCGAGGTAATATTGTTGACTTTTGGTGTCGGGGCGATCGACCGCGTGGAACGTCAGTGATTTTACCGAACTACTGTTGTAAACTCAGTTTCAGTGGTTTAAAATCATTCAGCTGTATTTTATCAGCCCTGAAAGACATATTTTATTTGGATGCTAGCTGTTTAGCGTTGTTTTATAAGCAGCGTCATGAGCGTGGTTTTTGTCTTCGGCGTTTCTAAGCATGATCGTTTGGGGGGAATTTCTCTGATATAGGTCGCTCTGTGTGGCTTATTTATAATTTTTATGCTGATTTCGATCATACCTCGTGCCCATCCTACCAGGCCTTTTGCCACTTACACTCATTAAGAAAGGAAAAAACTAGATTTTCATTGGGACTAGGTGTTTTGAGGGTGTAACATATTCAGCGTTCCCATTTTTGGATACTTCTTGTGCTCGTCAACTCTCGGTGATTAGCAGACAGGTGCTTGACATGTCTCCACCCTCGGCGCGGACGGTGGATATAGGTATGGAAGACCTTGTTGAACATCGCTGAGCGTTGTGGATTACGTAATCCTGCAGAGGGGGGCGTGCCCGCTGCGAGATCGACGGGAATAAAAGCGCAGAAGACCGGGCGAAACATGCAACGGTCTTGCCGGAAAGGTCATCTGATGATTGTTGCGTTAACAATAATTTGCGGCGTTGGACGTGATGCTTGTTAATGAAAAGAGCCCCTGAAAGGCGTCGGTGAAATCGTTCCCAATTTTGGGTACGCCGTTCCCATAATAAGGAACGCTTGCAGCGCCAGTGTACGAGAGCGTTCCCAAATTTGGGCTCGCGGCCCGGGTGATGGACTGCTTTAGAAATAGGGGAACGATTTGAAACTACGATGGGCCTTACAATATCAAACTCTTTCCCATCAATATTGAGACAACTATCAGGTGGTTCACGATCGTTTTATATTTTTTGGACGTCATTTAACAGTTCTTTTTCTTGTTTTAAATAATGCCTACATGGCGTTCCCATATTTGGGTTTATCGTTCCCAAACATGGGAACGAAAATGCGTTCCCGAAAATGGGTACGCTTGACCATAGTTCCGCCTACTGAATTGTCTCTTCTACAGTTGTTCTTTGCCTTGGAAATGTTGCGTTCTCGTGGATTTTTCCCGAATGTCAAGCCGTTTTGGTCGTTTGTATCCCATATTCTTGATGTCTCCCCAGCTATGGTAGTATGTAAATGATATTTTAATTTGATTTTCACATTTTTGTTCATCTACTTAGGGTCATGGACACAAAATTGCTTTGGTAGATGGTAGTCGGCGCACCCCAGGTGGTAACTTACCAGGGAAATAAGCTAAAATTGGAGTGCTCTATTTTATGTTCCTGTGTCAGCACCGCCTCCCATAGGGTCGTGTGTAACAGATTAAAAAATAGTGCTGTTTTTGGTACCCTTCCCATGAAAACCACATTGCCTGAAAACTAATTGTTCCATTCTGAAAATGTCATGACTGATGGACAAGTGAACAAGGAAAGATTGCTCCTGAAATAATGCTCAACTACCTGTAGAACATAGGTACTGAAATATGACTCCAAGCTATGAGGATGTGTAAATCAACAAGACAATACAAATAAACTTACCATGATGAATAATTTTTCCATATACATATCTATATAAAATCAGCCTATTCTCTGAAACAATCTTTAGCTGACTTTTAGGACTGACTTGGGAAAGTCCTACTGACTGACACTTGGGAAAGTTTTGATTTTATTTTTACTAGTGTACAGGGGTGGAGATCCGTCAAAATGTCCGGGGGTCCAGAGCGCTGTTCACGGGCCCTGTGTGCGGTCGGACCGCACACAGCCTTGAAGCTCCGCCCACTTCGTCCCTACGTCAGCCTTCCGTCACCGCACACAGCGATCGCTGTGGCCGGTCGGGACTGGCCACAGCGGACCGTCCACCGCACGCAGCCGTGACGTCAGAGCCGCCTACCCATCCCCTACCCCCACGCCTGCTGGACGCACCGCACACACCGCACGCAGCAGTGTGCGGTGCCCGTGAACACCCTCAGGCCAGGCAGATGGAGGCGGGCTAGATGCAGTACCACTGACTTACATAGCATTAGTTTGTTTTCAGGGGGGTCCTGACCCCCCCCCCCCCAAGATCTCCACCTCTGCTAGTGTCAGTAGTGTATGATAATATTTGATGAAGATAATTCATTCACTGGTCAGAGAAGTGTTGCCTTGCTGTGTGTGGGCCAATAAAAGATCACACTTTTAGGGGTATTTATTTAACATGGAGCAGGATCATTGAAAAGAGTGCTCTAATTTTAGCTTATTTCCCTGGTAGGTCACCAACTGACCCTAAAACCCCAATTAACTAACTACTTATAGCAGGTGAAATAGTGATAATAGAACATATATTAATAGGGTAAATATTCTCTCTTTTAATCTTTTCCATCAAACTTTTCTTTGAACATCTGCTCTGTGTATAAATGAGGCTACAATGTGTTATGTTAGGGTATGTTTGGTTATGTTATGCTCAGTCCATTCATCCTGGTTGAAAATGGTCATACAAAGATTTGTCCTTGATCAAGCTGAGACACTTCACATTTGGGCCATGCTTGGTTGCCATTGTTTATCAGCAAAGTGGCAGCATGCTGAATCAGCATGCTGCCAGGCCTAAAAATACAAGCAAAAAGCTCAGTCTATAGTAAAACTAGCAGCCCACTGATAAAAGGTCTTGAAACAATCCTCATGTTTTTTTTTTTTCTCAGTAATATTATCTCATTTATAATTGCAGCTGTGCTCCACTTGTTTTTAGCTTGGTCTTTGACTGCCACAGTCAGTTGTTTATTCTTAACCCTCGCCGGCACAGGCCATTTTGAGTCCTTCGACGGCACAAGGGGGGGGGGGGGTTGGTACGACCCCCCCCCTCGCGTTTGGCCCCTGATCGAGCTAGAGCTTCGCGGAAAAAACGAGCGTGTTGCCCGTCACGAGAGGAAGCCGATGATACCCAAATTTTAAGGTCCTAGGTCATCGGGTGACCTTCCAGGTCAGGTCAATGACCCGAAAACCGGGAAAATCGGGACCTGTTAGAAAGTCGTAAAGTGTGGCTGCTATGTGGTTTTCCGGGGTGCTGATCACGAATATCGTGTTAGTTTTTATTATAGATGATGTCTTTAAGCATTTAGACCAGGTCGGGTCAGGTCAGGTCAGGTCAACCGGTAGGGGTTGTGACGGGTATTCGTAATGCGTGTCAACCGCCTCGGACAGCTTCGTAACATGTAACGAAGGCACCAAAACTACTTCGTAAATGTTCAAATGGTTGCTAAATTCGAATTCAGCTCCAAAAACTAGCCTAGAAACATGTAAAACTCGAAAAAGTGAACCGAGGTCACCCGAGGTCACCAAAGGTCAATGACCTGACCTGACCTTCAGGTGACCTTGACACCCACCCTAATGCATGGGAGCAACATCAAATCACATGTTTGAACGTTTGAAACCACGAAAAGCTTGCAAACGCGCGGCTAATGCGAGCCGACATGCGCCGAACCGCGATTTCGGCCAAACATGGTCACAGAAAAGAGGTCACAGGTCAAAGGTCATTGGGGTCAGGGTCATGAAATTTTCAGGGTAGGTGTAAAATTGATCAATGCGAGGGTCCTGAAAGTTTCGTCGCGATCGGCCGCTTTTTACGCGAGTTATTCGCGAAAAACCTTAGGGGGGGGTTGCATCAACCCCCCCCCCCTGTGCCGGCGAGGGTTAATTTGTTTGCTTTTTTTCTTGAACTGTGTGTCATTAGTTAGCGTGAGCTTCTGTTTCCGCAATGCAACTGATTCTCTATATTGAGAAGCTGAGAAGCAGATGCTTACCCATTTTTTTAAGTTTTAGCATGTTTTGCATAAAGCCAGACTGGAAATTGTAAAGTAACATGGTCAAAAAATGCATCAGCTAGGGCAACAGATTTGCAACAGCCCAGACAGACCATGCTGGAAATCCTTAAGATGTGACACTGAACGCACCCAAGGTTGTTTTACTACAGCATGGTTAGATTTATAGGGAACCGAAGTAAAAGGTCAATTGTTTCCTAGTCAACCCTGTTATGTGCTGTGAGTGTGTACATCATGCTCTTGACAACGCTCTGCTAGTAGATCAGTTCGGCAGTCTGCCCAAAACTACAGCTTTGGATATGCCCTAAAGTACGCCCATTCTGAACTGCACTGCATGCTTGCTTAACATACCACACCGCAAGATCTCTTCAAAATTGCCATGCTTTGCAGCTGTTGGTATTGCACAGACTAGGTTTTGAGGAAGTCACAGGCTGCTTAAGTGCTTGAAAATTCTCCTAAATTGGAATTTTCTTGAAAGTTATAGTAAAAACAAAGTTTATGAAGTAGCTTTGCAAGCAGGATATGGTAGTGGTTTTTTTATGCATCATATATAGATAGATGTCACTTCTAACTGGAGTTAAAGGTACCTATCAAAGGGTGAGCTGCCATTTAAGAGAATGGCATCTCATGCATTTTCGTTTGCGCCACACTGTTATGTCAATCCTGAAAGATATATCGATCCTCTTTGTGTCCCATAACATGTAGAATGATATTGATATCATTTGATTTGTCCCTCTTAACCCGCGCCCTGCTGGGGGGGGTGTTTGAACACCCCCCCCCCTTGTGGTTTTTCGCGAATATCTCAAAAACGGCGGCGCGGAGCGCCGCCGTTTTTGGTACACCTTATCATACATCAATTCTACACATGTTGTGAAAATTTCAGACCAAGGTCATTCAAGGTCAGGTGACCAGGTCACTTGAAGTGACCTCACCTCATAAAAAGTTTCAATGTCTGTCATAGCTACACCGAGTGACCGAATGCTTTGAAACTTTCAGCGATTGCTAAGAGCAATGACATGTACAAAATGTATATCTCAGAATTTTGATATCGTTGACCTAAGGTCAGGTCAATTTTGAGACCTCCCCATTATAAGTCAATTAGAGAAAATTGAAATGCGCCTTTTTTGGACGAAAGACATTATAAACACTCCCAAACACTGAATTACAAGTAGTTTAGACACACTGAACATGAAAATGGTGTCCGTGACCCCTGTTTATGCCCTGAGGTCATCTTAGGTCACGAATGGTATCTAACAGTTTTTCGCAAATAACTTTTGATAGAGGCATGCTAGAGCGATGAAAACGCCTTAGATGTGTTCAGCTCGACGATACGGATCGACTGATATGCAACATGACCCTTTCCGGTCAGGTCATGACCTTGACCTGAGGTCAAATTTTCAAGTTGACCTTTCAAGGTCAAGTTATAGTTCATTCGATGCGTCTTGACGAGAGGAACACGATGCCGGTAAAAGTAAGCTCGTACAAGGCTTGGGTCAAAAGTTATTGCAGAAAAAATGTTTCCGAAAAAATCGGCTATTTTTGCAGTTTTTGCCCCCTGCAGGCAAAACCGTTGACGTTAGGTCAAATCTAAGAAAATTATTCAGAAAGGGCGTTAAAAGGGCTATCGAATGCGCTTTTCCGCGGCGCTGTAGCTCTTTTGGTTCTCGAGTTATGCGTTGGCTTCTTGGAAATTTTCGACATTCGACCTGGAAATCGGCGAAATTTTGCCTTCAATGACCTCTGGTGACCTGACCTTTGACCTGAGCAAAAAATTGACCGAAGTGATTTCCTCATTATTTTTGACGCTCTTTCGAACGCCGCCTTCCGCGTATCGCTACGTGGCCCAGGAGCCGAGTTAGAAGGGGGGGGGTGTTCAAACACCCCCCCCCCCCCCCAGCAGGGCGTGGAAATCCAGGACCCCCAGCCGGGCGCGGGTTATGATTTTGATTCATGGCATGTCTTTGCCATGAGACCTCTGGGACCTGATTGAAGCGCTTTGACCACCATGATGTCTTTTGAAAATCTGAATCTGAACGCCACAGTTTTTAGCACACCTTATCATGCATCAATTCTACACATGTTGTGAAAATTTCAGGCAAAGGTCAGGTCACCAGGTCACTTGAAGTGGCCTCACTTCATAAAAGTTTCAATGTCTGCCACATCTCGTACACCTAGTGACCCGATCGCTTTGAAACTTTCAGCGATCGCGAAGAGCAATAGCATGCTTATCGCAGAACTTTGATATCGATTACCTAAGGTCAGGTCAATTTTGCGACCTCCCCATTTATAAGTCAATGGGTGAAAACTGAAATGCACCGCTTTTGGACGAAAGCTATTATTAACACTTCCAAACACTGAATAACAAGTAACGTAGACACGCTGAACATGAAAAGGGTGTCCGTTACCCTTGAGATGACCTCGGGGGCTCCTGAGGTCATCTCAGGTCACAAATGGTAACGTCTCAGGTAACAGTTTTTCGCAAATAACTTTTGATAGAGGCATGCTAGAGCGATGAAAACGCATTAGATGTGTTCAGCTCAACGATACGGATCGGCTGATATGCAATATGGCCATTTTCGGTTAGGTCGTGACCTTGACCTGAGGTCAAATTTTCAAGTTGACCTTTCAAGGTTAAGTTCATTTGATGCGTCTTGACGAGAGGAACACAATGCCGGTAAAAGTAACCTCGTGCAAGGCTTGGGTCAAAAGTTATTGCAGAAAAACTGTTTCCGAAGGAAATCGGTTATTTTGGCAATTTTGCCCCCTGCAGGCAAAACCGTTGACGTTAGATCAAATCTGAGAGAGTTATCCAGAAAGGGCGTTAATAGGGCTATCGAATGGGCTTTTCCGCAGCGCTGTATCTCTATTGGTCCCCGAGTTATGCGTTGGCTTCTTGGAAATTATAGACATCCGACCTGGAAATCGGCGAAATTTTGCCTTCAATGACCTCTGGTGACCTAACTTTAACCTGACCAAGAATATGTTCGTCATTATTTTTGGCGCTCTTTCGAACGCCGCCTTCCGCGTATCGCTACGTGGCCCAGGAGCGGAGTTAGAAGGGGGGTGCTCAAACACCCCCCCCCCCCCCCCCAGTAGGGTGTGGAAATCCAGGACCCCCAGTGGGGCGCGGGTTAAAGTATTGCAGATCATTTGTGAAAAAAAACATCTGCATGTTCCTTTTCATTGGCAATTGCACTTCAAGAGGCAGTGGCATGAGCAGACATGTGCATTGTGTCTGGATCTGAGAAAATGGTTCTGGGATCGGATCCCAATGATCTTGATCTCGGATCCAATGGGATCATAGATCTGGATCACTAATTTATCGAGAGATTCGTATTGATCATGGATGCGATTCTAATATTTTGCTTGGGAGATCCGGTGAGATCATAGATACTCGTTTACTTTTTTTGTCAACACAGGAATCCCCAAAAATCAATACTTGCAACTCCAAAACGTTCTGTTTTAGTGATTTTATGTGATTGCACGTCCCAATTCATAGTTTTGTGGCAGTACTTAGCAAAGAAACACTTTGAAACCTGTTTAAAATGTTGTGCATGGTGGCATCAACTCAGATCATAGATCCATGTTCTTGGCAGCTCGTCAGATCCTATGAAATCATAGGTCCATATTAAATTTTTCATGCCGGATCCGGTGGAATCATAGGTCCTAACGTGCAGTTTGCTTCGAGATCCTCTGGGATCATAGACCCATCGCTCAGATCCATGCACATGTCTGGGCATGATTTGTCTACACTAATCTGTGATCTTTATATCACTACTACCAATTGCCTAACATACAATCCGTGTAGTGGGTTCAATTTGTCACGCATACAGGGCAGACGGTACGGCGTAGGGGGTTGAAATTTGCACACCCTCTAGATGACAGAGCGAGTCAGCGCCTTTTCTAGGTTTCCACTCGCTGGGGTGCACGGTTGGCACGTGGGGCGCGCCGGAAGAACGCCAATGAAATTTTGATCGGTTCATAGATCTTCATTGAGAGCCGGGGTCGACGAACTTTGTGGACTAAATGCATGCCGATCGGCGACGGGTGCCTCGCATTGGCGGATGGGCAAGTTTTAATTTGAATAAAATATGAGTTTGGGACAGTGGTCGGTGTGCTGTATCTCTGACGGTTGGCGTCTGTGTTGCAGCCGTCGGTTGGCTGCTGCGGCCGGCTGTCGCCGTGCCCGCGCGTGCAGCCGTGGCCGCCAGCCGGGCAGGCCGGTGAGCTGCCGCCGCCGCCTCCGCCGCCTCCTCCGCTGCCCGAGTCGGACTCGGACCCGGCCATCGAGCGGCTGCTGGCCCTCTGCAGTGGCGGCAGCGAGACCCACTCGCTGCTGGAAGATGACGCCGACGCCTCCCAGTCCAGCTCCGCCTCCGAGGAGATACTCAGCAACCAGGTGAGCACGGCGCCAACTGAGGATACTCAGCACGAGGACGGCAGGATACACTCAGCACGAGGGCGGCAGGGGATTGAGGCGAGGCTACCCAGGATCGAGTTGAGCGCGAGGGCGAGGGCTAACGGGCAGTATCCAGCTGATTAGAGGTGGCTGTGGTAGGGCTGGTGCCACCACTTGGTGGTATTTATTTTGTCATCGATCAGTTTATCACTTCATGCACTGAATTGTGATAGAAGGGCGCTCACCACGTTCTCTTGTAGTGTTGCCTGTCGTGTATAGGGTTGTTTCTTGTGAGTGGCGCAGTGATTCTTGCGGCCCGGCTCTGACTGTGCGCCCGCCACCTTAGGACCTGACGCTGGACAAGGCGCTGATCGGCCGCGAGCTGCTCGGCGAGTGTGACCCGCCCGACAACGGTGACGACGAGCCGCCGGCCAAGCGGCCGTGTCTCGCCTCGGCCGCCGACGAGCCCGCCGACGACACAGTCTGGCGGAAGACGGCCAGCGTGGGTCCCGAGTTCCAGGCCGAGCTGCCGGCGCTGCGACCGGCCGCGCACCGGCGCCGCTCGCGGCCCGACCGGCTGATCTGGGACCCGAGCCGGCTGCCGGAGCACGAGGTGGAGCGGTACCAGCGCCGACTGCGGCCCGCCGTGGTGTCGGCGGCGCCCCCACCAGAGGCGCCCCGCCCGGCCCGACGCCAGCCCGACCACGAACAGGTGCGTGCCGCCCGCCGGACGGAGAACCAGTCGTGGGGTGGGGTGCTGACTGACGACAGTGAAGGGGTGAACGTTTACATTAAAGTGATCGGTGTGTTGTTATTTGTATTATAGATTGTCTGTGCCTTTTAACATCATTTGCTTACGCTGTTGATGTCCGTGATTATTAATGTTTTAACATTTCATTACGTTTTCGCAGAGGCATTATATCTGCTGCGTTATCACTGACCGCCGTCCTAGCGGACAGTCCGTCCTGCCTGCCAGGATGGCATTGTTGCCTAATCAGTAATCACTGATTGGCGTCCTCTGTGGCAGGCCCCACGACGGACTCTTTGTTTCGTTACCACTAAGCCCCTTCCCGGTCCTCGGGCCCTGTGCCCGGCTCTGTATTGCCCCACCACTGACCGCTGTCCTCTCGTGCAGGCCCTGCGCCACCTACAGGAGAGCGGCCACGACGTGGAGGAGGCGGCGCGGCGCGTCAGCAGCGTCCCGCCGCGGCCGGCTGGCCGGCTCGACCACTGGTCCGACCACGAGTGCACGCTGTTTGAGCAGGCGCTGCGGCTGCACGGGAAGGACTTCGGCACCATTCAACGGCAAATGGTGGGTGCACGACCGGCGGGCGGGTACTCTGAACACCGCAGATTGTATGGGGGTGATAAAGTGGGATTTTTAATAATGATAAGAGTCTGCCGTTTCAAGGAAATTCCAGGCTCGTCGTCCATCCCAAAATTAGCATCATCCCGCGTTTCCTTTTAGCAATGCTTTGCTTGTCTCCTGCACGGGTGTATGACGGGTGTTTATTTTTTTCAGCTGCCGACGCGGTCTGTCGGCGAGATAGTGAATTTCTACTACCTTTGGAAAAAGACGGAGCGGCACCGTCAGTTCCTGAGCCTTACACAGTTCGACCGGAGGAAATACGGAGCAGAGCCGGCGCTCAGGTACGGAGGGGATGATCGGATTAGATAACTGAGCTGATCGATTTGGTTGTGTCAGAGCCGTTCCCTGCCGGTTCTCCGGTGTGTCTAACCGGGCTCCGCTTCTGCCGGTGTCCCGTGTTGGACTGAGCGCCCCTCTACCGGCTCTCGTATGTCGCCTGTGTGACCGGGCGTCCCTCGGCCGCGACCCCGGTGTCTCCGTGTGTGACCAGACCCTCTCTGTGCCCGCCTGTCCCAGCTGTACCCCTCTGTCGGTTCCCCGCGGGTGTCTTGTCTGACCGGCCTCCCCTCCTGTCCGGCAGTGAGCCGTGTCCACGCATGCTGTCTGCGGCCGCCTCCAGTCTGCAGATCCTGATGGCGACCGACCCGTGGGAGCACGGCCCGTGGGCGGCCGCTGGTGACCCGCAGCCGTCGGCGCAGCAGCCGCAGCCGCCGCCGGCCGGCCTGGCCAGCCTGCTGGCCAGCTGTCCGCAGCTGCTGCTGCCCTGACCAGTCGGCCGCGGCCGCGCGCCGCCCCTCGCGCCGCTGTGATACCAACGGGCGGCACCGGCCGTCGCCAGTGAATGCAGACTGTTTTTGTATGGTGTATTTTGTATTGTTGATGTGCGTGCGGGTCTCAGCCGTACAACTCTATACCTGATCAAGTGGAGAATGGTCGCTATCGGAAAGTTACCGGGATCATGTGTGTTTGTGATCACGCGTGCGGGTGGGAGAGACTATTGTCTGTTGTGCCGGTCGGCGGCCGTTCCTGTCGGCAGTGGGTAATACACGCCGGCGGGAGGCGGAGCGCCCCCGGGCCGTCCCGTACCGAGTGGCGTGGGCGGCAGAGGACCGCGTGTGATCTGAACTGGAGCTCTATCAGTGTATGACGTGTGTGAACTGACTGTGCGCAGAGGAACTTCCCGGCCCGAGGCCGCGTGTGGACCCGACAAACTGTGTCTCAAATACGGTGCTCGCCGATCGCCGCGTTTTATTGTCCGTCTCACAGCGATGGAGTGGTTGTTTGAAGTGGACTAACGGACTGACTGAGTTTGCGTGATTCGTCGAGCAGAGTTTGCTCAAGTATGATGCGGAGAATGCGTTGATGAACGACAGAAAACGTCACCAAGTGCGTGCGTTTGTATGTCTGTGCGTGAGTGCGAACGAACGACTGTTCATTGCGAGATTTTGTGCGCTAGCGTGAGCAGATGAGGTACCGACGGGAAGCGCCTATGATGCCATTTTTGGTGAGCGGCGCCGACGGCTCGGTGCTCGCAGCTGGAGACTGAGACGGAGACAGACGACCCGATACGAACCTGCCGCCGAGCCGCTGCCACCCCAGAGCCCTATATGCAGCCGGCGACGAGCGGAATCGCAGCTTCTTCGCTTCGTTCGATCTGTTATCGTGTTTTTTGTACATCCGCAAATGCAATTATCTTTCAGAGATGACGGTCGTCAAGTTAGATGTAAGTGAATCCTAATCTATAATCTAAGATTCGGAATCAGGTGAGCCCCTACGATTTAGACCAAACTTGGTCAGTGGATAGTACGTAACGTCCTGATTACGATGAACCCAAAATCTACAGGGTGTATCAGAATTATCCGGACACTTTGTTTTCCCCTCTGATTTGGAAAAAAGAGAAGGTTGCATTTTCAGTTTATTTTCCGATGTAGCCACCCTTCATAGCGATACAGTCACGCATACGCTGGGGCATCCCTGCCACCAGGTTCTCCAGCACATCGGGCTTGATCCGGCCCCACGCCTTTTTGAGCTGCTCTGCTAGCTCGCCGGCGCTGGTAGCCGGTGTCATCTTGTCGACCTCTTGCTGAACGATGGCCCAGAGGTTTTCGATCGGGTTGAGATCGGGGCTGTTACCGGGCCATACGCCACGCTCCCAGATGTCGGACAGGTGCTGGCGACACCACTGCTGTGTTTTCTGGGCCGTGTGCGGTGGAGCGCCGTCCTGCATGAAGATGGCCCGGCTTGTGTCCGTCATCAGAGAGGCTTCAGAACGCCGCCTGTTTCAGCCGTTCGGTGGATGGCGTCCAGACAATCCTTGGCGAGGATGTTCTCTCGGTAATACTCTCCGTTGATGACAACTTTTGGGGGCACCACGTGCAGCTGGGAGAGCGCACGGTGGGACATCATTCCCCAGACATGCACCTTCGCAGAGTGCTTGACAGTGGGGACGGTCTGCACGTCTGAGCTGCTGGCCACCCACACGCGGTCGTTTTGTCGGTTTGGCGGGTGGTACAGCTCGTACGGCGACTCGTCCGACCACAGGACCCGCTGCCAGTCTTCCACTGACCAGTTTTTTTGCTCCCGTGCGAACTTCAGACGGTCAGCACGCTGTTTTTCAGTTAGCTTTGGCGATTTTTCAGCTTCAGCGGCCTCATCCCTAGATTTTCGCGGAGATAGCGGTGAACTGTTGCAGGGGATACCTTGTAGCCTGCATTGGTGAGCCGTCTCGAGAGTTTTCGGATCTATTGATGCCATTTACCAGTTGCTATCTTGATCACTCTCTTCCCCACCGGATGGAGCGTGCTCTTGCGACCACGACCGGGCTGACTGGCGAGCCCCTGGCCCAGCTTCTCTCTCTTTAATCAGAGGTAAAGCTGGCTTCGGCTGATGCTGAGTTGCCTGCAGCCCATCTTGGGCCTCATCCCTCCATGCACCATCCCCACAGCTTTGCCACGAAACGAGGTGCTGTAGTTTTTCGCCATACCCCTCTGACGCTCAGATACACCAACGCACTGTTCTGTGACCCGACCTCTACTGACCGGCCGGGTCAAGATCAGCGGCGAATGGCAGACGGGTGGGGCGCACGATGGTCTCAGGTTGGTATTTACCCAACCTTTAAATTCATACAGCTCCATGACGGACAGAGAGAGCAGAAATACGAGAAAACAAAGTGTCCGGATATTTCTGAGACACCCTGTAAGCTCGGCCCGCCATATTTACGAAGTTACGGCTGTTTGAATTTCAAGGTCATTCGGGAGAGCCCCTACGATTTCCGTCAAAATTTGTGTACGAACACTCTAGATGTTCCTCATTACGAATATCACAAAATTTAAGCTCGGCCCGCCATATTTACGAAGTTACGGAGGTTTGAATTTCAAGGTCATTTGGGTGAGCCCCTGCGATTTCCGTCAAAATTGGTATACGGACATATTACATCCTCCTCATTACAAATATCATAAAAGTTAAGCTCGGCCCGCCATATTTTTCAAGCTACGGAGTCACAAAGTTACGGAATTTCAAGGTCATTCGGAGAGCCCCTCCGATTTTCGTCAAAATTTGTATGCGGACACATTACATGCTCCTTATTACGCATATCGTAAAAGCTAAGCTCGGCCCGCACTATTTCAAAAGTTAGAGATGTTTGAATTTCAGTGAGTTTCAAACGTCAGTAACTTTTGAAATAGTGCGGGCCGAGCTTAGCTTTTACGATATTCGTAATGAGGAGCATGTAATGTGTCCGCATACAAATTTTGACGAAAATCGGAGGGGCTCTCCGAATGACCTTGAAATTCCGTAACTTTGTGACTCCGTAACTTGAAAAATATGGCGGGCCGAGCTTAACTTTTATGATATTTGTAATGAGGAGGATGTAATATGTCCGTCTACCAATTTTGACGGAAATCGCAGGGGCTCACCCAAATGACCTCGAAATTCAAACCTCCGTAACTTCGTAAATATGGCGGGCCGAGCTTAAATTTTGTGATATTCGTAATGAAGAGCATCTAGAGTGTCCGTACACAAATTTTGACGGAAATTGCAGGGGCTCTCCCGAATGACCTTGAAATTAAAACATCCGTAACTTCGTAAATATGGCGGGCCGAGCTTAGATTTTGGGTGCATCGTAATCAGGACGTTACGTACTATCCACTGACCAAATTTGGTACAAATCGTAGGGGCTCACCTGATTCCGAATCTTAGATTATAGATTAGGATTCACTTACATCTAACTTGACGACCGTTCAGAGATGTGGTTTTTGGTGGGCGATGGAATCGTGCAGTCGATAGAGGTTCGAATGGATTGTTCGATAAACGAGTGTGAGCGCTTTGCTCATACGATTGAGCGATTGCTCTTCATGCCATTATTCATCTACGAACTATAATTTGAGTCCTGAATTTGGGCTGTCAAATGCAAGGATGATCAAATTTGGAGTGCAAGGACGCGACATTCCCCGCTTTCTTTTGGATAGTTTAGCTCTGCTACATGCGTACCTGCTCCGGTGTTTCACCGATGGACCTGGTAAACACCCGCCCCAGGCCCGCCTACTACTGCCTGTTTAATGCGTACGCCCAGATGGCTCTGGAAGCTACCAGGTGGTCCCTGGAGGCCCGCTATAGGCTGTCAGTTGCGATGATGTATCCGTGGGGCGGCCGCGGGTGGTCAGTGTCGGACTCGGGTCACCCACATCAATCAGGACGTGACCTGTCGTCGGGACAGTCTTCCGACCAACAGAGCCACCGGCCGCTAATAGGCCGCTCTGTCCCCTGACCAGCGCTGGAATAAGCAGTGTTGACCGTCTGTCAACATTGGCGGACGAGCACGCAAACCACACGCACCCTACGGCGAGCGTCAGTTTAAAATAAAGGAAAACCATATCTCATTGAACGCCCACTGGCAGAGGTCCGCCCGCACTGAGTCCCCTACATAATGACAGGCTGGGTCGGGGGTCAGTGGTTCGACACGGGGTGTTATCATTGGTGGTCAGGCCTGGTCGATTAATGAGCTGCTGATGGTACTAAGGACACGAGTCGTTACAGTGGTAGACTCGGTGCGGCCACCGACCCGATCGCACCACCCACCAGGCCGAGCCGATCGCCCGAGTCGAACCCGACCTCACCACTGGAATCCGATCCGAACAATCCATCAGATTTCCCCTTTCTGATCTGCAGAGTCGGACCGAAAGCAGACAGGCTAAATTCCAGCAGCAGCACGAAGTCCGAGGGCACCGCTCAGTGAAGCGCTCAGAAGGCGTCTGAGTACATTTTGTGGCAGTCTGCCGCTGGGTATCTGCAGTGTCAGGCGCCTGGGAGCCGTCTCACTGGCCGTTCTCGACTGCGCGATCCGTCTTCCACCATGGCTCTGGTTCTAGGTGACAGCCCGCACCTGGCGCCCAACTCCTCACTGCGGGCAGGACTCGAAGACGCCGAGATCGGCACGGTACGCGTTGCCGCTCTGCACGACCCTCCGTACTTCTTCATCGAGCGCCGGCCGGACGGCTCCTGTTGCCAGTTCGACGGCTTCCTCTGGGAGCTGTGGCAGCTGATCGCTCAGAAGGCGCGGCTTCAGTACGAGATCACGCCGCTGCTCGAGGGTGGGTACGGCCAGGAGGGAGCTAACGGCTCGTGGACCGGCCTGGTGGGAGAGCTGGTACACGGCCGCGCTGACGTGGCGCTCAGCTGGCTGGGTATGTTCGGCCGCCGACAGCGCGCGGTCGCCTTCTTAGACGCCGTGCCGGTAAGTGTCTCTCGGGAGACGTTCTACGTGGCGCGCGGCGCGACCGACGCTCCCCGGCTGACCGCTGCCGCTGCCCAGTCGCTGCTGGCGCCGCTCGGATCGGACGTCTGGTGGGCGCTGCTCGCCGCCCTGCTCGTACTCGCCGTCGCGCTCCGAGTCACCGTTCGGCTGAGTCGCGGGTCGGCCGAGACGCCGCACACGGTGGCCGCTCTGGGCTGGGTGCCGTGCCTCCTGGCCTGTTTTGGAACGGTGGTTCGCCAGGGCTGGTCGGTGACACCCGACTCGCTGGCAGCGCGCACCGTCACCTACTTCTGCTGGGCGCTGAGCACCGTCATCCACGCCAGCTACACGGCCAACCTGATGTCACAGCTGGTCGTGGAGCGACCCCCCGCGCCGCCCATCACCAGCCTGCGTCAGTTCCTCGACCAGCCCGACTGGACCTTCAGCATTCCCCGCGGCCACGGCATGGTCACAGAGTGGGCCGCCGGCAGCGACGCCGAGCGGCGCGCGCTGGCCCTGCGCGTCAGCCGCCGGGATCGGCACGTCGACCTGGAGGCGCTGCCGGAGGTCGGCGGACGACTGGACCGGGTGCTGGTGTACGGCGATTCGCACTGGCTGCGGGACATACTCGGCCCGGCCAGCTGCCAGCTGACGGCCATGTCGGAAAGACTGCCCGCCCACCTGGTGCCCACCTACATGGCCGTCACCCGGCGGCTGCCGGCGCTGCGCGTCCGGCTGAACGCCGCGCTGCTGGCCACCGCCGAGTCGGGCCTGCTGAACCGGCTGCGGACCCGCTGGCTGACGGAGGAGGGCGTCACCTGCGCGGCGGTCGGTGCCGTGCGTCCGCTGTCGCTGGCGGACCTGGTGGCAGTCCTGGCGCTGGTGCCTCTGGCTGTGGCAGTCAGTGGCGGTCTGTTCGTCCTGGAGTGGCTCTGGAGCAGGATGCGCCCACCGCCCGCCAGCAGAGAGCGTCTGCTGCCGACGGTCGGAAACAGGGAACCGCACAAGGCCTGGTACAAAATCTACTGAGCTGTTCGATTCCACGGGTGGCAAGTCATATCTGAAGCCTGTGATTGCTGTGAAGCCAAGCACGCACTAACGTGTTGATTCGGAGTGTCTACACCCAAGTGGTTCCACCATTTTCAAAATTGTGATGTCAAGAACACGTGCGTTTAAAAACACCTAGCATTGTAGGTCCGTCGACAGGTCAAAACACTTGAATAAAGTAGTGGAAGGGGGCGGGGTTATCTGAGCAATGGAACAATGTCTTGCAAGCCTCGGTACACACAACATATGCCATCAAACAACGATCGTTCCACTGTGCCGGCACCCACATCCACATTGCTCACTGACGTCACCACACGCACATACAGGCCTTCCGTATATTGAGGGTCAAACCAAAAATTCACACACACACACACACACAAACTTACACGCATACAAACAAGTGAGTAGTAGAGCGGCCACGCAATGCCGAACGAAGCGTAAGGCCGAGACAGGCTTCCTCCGTCCTTCGTCGAGCTTCCTTCTCCCTCCGTCCCCGTGCCGGGCTAGTCGGAGGGTGCAGTCTCTCCACGATAGGCCGACAGACCTGCCCGGTCCCGCCGCCCGCTGGAGACACACTCGTAACCCGATAGACACGGCTGTTACGGGGGTGGAGTGCCGCCCAGTTTCTGAGCTGCCGCCAGCGAGGCCGGACGGATGGACCATAACCGTGACGATCTTACAGAGTTTACACAGGGGACAGCGACGTCACCAGCGCTGGCTGTCCGGCGGACGTAACAGGCGCACATAACTCAGGTCCCAGGCACACCTCACATCAGCATGCGTCATTTCACTTACGAACCTCGCATCTCGCGAGTGCAGGTCAGTCATCTCTCTGGGTGAAAAACTGCACACGTCCGGCGGCCACCCACACACAATCGTCTAACCTAAAGCTCAACTTTCCGGTGACGCGGGCTGGACTGTAAGTAGGCGCCCTCGCAGACTGCTTCCAGTGGAAAAGGAAGTAGTCTCTCTGACTGGGAGGAAATCGGGCAGGGGTACGGTGTATGACGGTGTAGCAGTTCCACGATACTGGTACACCGATCGAGACAGACACGCTGAGTCACTATTCACACTACTATTATAAATGGGTCCACACACACTTTAACCTAATGGTTTTGAAATAATGCTTACTTTTCCATAATGTTACATATTACCTATCTCAGCTATGCAGTCACGCATGCATAAATAAGATTCATACCATACCCTATATTCTGGCCAGACATACCTATACCACTACAATAATGGGAGCACACTAAGCAGACCAAATAGCCTAAAGCAGATATTCTCTAAATGTTGCGGTACAAAATCTACTAATAGTCACACCACACAGGCCTGTCATGCTCAAGAACAAGTCAGTTCCATGCTCAGGAGCACACAGCTTGTCAGCATTTTATGGACTATACAACATACTCAAACACTCGTACACACAAATGTCTACAGATAACCCTTGGTTCTTGACACCATCATTAGAAATCTCTGATATGATGGGCGTCAGAGAACCACCGATACATATTTCTGGTACATTCAGACAGGGCATACTCTCCAGAGAGCAGGCAGAGCCTACTGTGGGTCACAGGGCTAGCTGTACAAACACACTTGTTCTAAGCAGCATATTCTGACAAGAGACACCTCACAGTCCTTTACCCTAGAGACAGCACACACACCACAATGACATTTTCCTGTGCATTAACTCTGACACCAGTTTATCTGTCATGATAAGTGTATATTCATCAGCTTCACTCACCCTGGAGGTAACTGACAACCATCTCCAGCAATCTGGCAAGGATGGGCGACACTCTGTCTCTATGCAGCCCTGCCACAGACATGACTGACAGGTAGTAAACTTAGCTAGGATCTGGGCCTGTCCCGGGGTCAGTGGCGGGAGACTGCCGGCGAGCTCTGCTTGCTGCCTGCTGTGGTGGTGACGGGGGAGCTGTTGCCTCCACTGCTGTTCACTGAAGAGCCAGTGCTGGCTGGGGCATCCACCTCCATCTGGAAAGGCCAATGAGATGACAGTCAATAAATAGGCAAGGGACATGGAAGTTGGAATACACACTTATATGTATAGCTCCACCATATAGTGCAAAATTAGTTCAGGTGTTGAGCTGTACCTTGTATTTAGCAAGCAAAGTGTTGGCAAAACATTGGCAAAAAACTAGCATCTCCTTAAAAATGGAAAAATATCAAAAACTTCATGGGTGCATAGAATATGTAAGCATATCTAATCCCTGTAAACCTGAAAACTCTAGCTGGTACTTACTTTGGTATCAGCATCTTGAATGGGGCCATTCTCCTCTTCAAACTCTTTGATCAGACTGTCCAGGTTGTACTTCCTCTTGTAGTTGGTGAAGAACATCCTGATGTGCTGCTCTGTCTTAGTGCCAATCACCTCTGCTATGCTCTTGAAGTTCTTGCCATACTTCCTGACACCCTGGACTGCCAGCAGGAGCTCATCGTTGGTCCATCTGGCGTTGATCTTCACAGAGGCCTCCACAGATGTCCTGTAGGGAGCGACGTTCAGCCAGGACTTCCTCTTCAGCATGCTGATGGTCTGCTTGTTGTTCTGGATGTGCCTCTTCAGCCCAGTGATTTCCTGCTCCATGGTCTGAATGATGGTATCACCCCCATCAGGCTTGGCACACTGCATCAGGTCCTCATGGTTCACATGCATTCCCTTTGGCAACTGCGACTTCTTGCGGGTCATTGAGTGGGGCCTGTCCCTCTTTTCTCCCTTGATTGGACCAATGGTTGGCCTCAGTGCTCCATTCTTCTTGAAGTAGTTGTAGCATGTATTGCACATCAGGCCCTTTTGAGTGTTGTTTGTGATCAGGCAAGCAATGCCACAGTTTGAGCACTGACTTTTGCCACCATTATCTGTCTCACTTGAGTCCTTGTTTTCATCATCACTGTCGCTGCTCTGATCTGAAATCTGATAGTTGCCGTCCTCCCTTTGGGCGGCAAGCTTCCTTGCCTGCTTATCCATCAGTGAGGCTCTTGATCTTGATTTCTTCCAGGAGTAGTAATAAGTCACCAGTGAATGTATGCTTTTGTCTGGAAGCATCTGATGTATTTTATGGAAGTTCTTTCCATGAAAGGAGAATGCCTGCTCAAACAGAACCTTATCCTCAACAGTCCACTCTTCTGGGTGAGGTGTGTAATTTGGAAGATCTGCCATTGCCTTTTCAAAGTTGTAGTTGTGCCAGAAAAGCATTCCCAATGCCTGTTCACAGGTGTAATTGTACTTTTCCTTTGACTTCTTCAAGTATCTTTCAAGCATCTCATCAGATGCCTTGGAGCTTGGTGCCCACATCAGAAGTCCTCTTTCAGTGCATTTTTCTGGTTTCCTCTGATTTGATGGCAACAAATCAGGCACTCTTGCCTGATATTCCTGGCCAACTTTGATCTTTCCCTCACTTTCCGACTCCTTTTCTATGTCACTGGCACCACTGATGCTGTCCGGAGACTCATAGTCGATAGGAGTGGATACCCTCGATCGGACACCGTTTTCCGTAGGCTTGTCAGCCATAACCATACTGGACGTAATTGACTTTAATCTCCAGATGCGATAATATCAATATATTTAAAATTCAAAGCGAGAAATACACCAAAAAGTTACGAGAGAGTCGCCCAAGATTTTAAACGCTACACCTCCGAGTCAAGGAATGGAAAATGGGAATCCCTTGGATTGTAAAAGGCATGAAGAAGGTTAGGAGATGACGTCATACATTTCTTTGTTTTATGCGCAATTTTCATTCAAATTTACGAGTTATAAATCAAACTAGGGACTATTACTTCAATCGATAGTGTTTTTCTAAGTTATATTGATCTTTTGATCGAGTTTGTAAAATATTTCGTGATAAAATGGATGAAAAGTATTGCTCAGATTGCTTTACAAACGCGCTGTAGTGTTGACGTCATTTTCTGTCCAATATAAAATCGAAAGGATGATTTCCTAGTGCGGCTACTTTTGCATCACTTTTTATACTCTTTATGATTCAATGTGAATTGGGAGTTTTTGGTAGCGTGTTTAGTGGTTTCAGAATGAGACTCGAGTGTTTTGCAACTTCATTATAAATTACTGTCATCGACCAAAAAGTTGAGAATATATTCATTCGTGATCTTTTCTTTGGTACCCTACCGTCTATGGCCGAACTTTGATTTTGTGGTAACTCATTTTTTTACTGCACACACTCACTATTCACAAGGAACACTCGAAGTTGGTGTTTTTTGTCGTTTTTGTGGCGTCGTTTCCCTGCCACTACTTCACTTATTTACTAGTTGAAGCCTTATCGTAAAGTTGGTAGGTAAAATGCCAGATTATAATGACTTGGTTAACTTTTGCCTCACAATTTGAAACTGACAACCTGCGATCTGCATTGTTAACATTAAACCTAGCTAAGATGTAAGAAAAACTGACCATGACCTTGGTCATGATCTGCTTTCTTGTCCTGAGTCAGTCAGGTACCTAACCATCCATGTAACCATTCAAATATTTGCAGCCAAATAGCCATCCATGATCCAAGTATTTGAAAGAATAACAACCTATCCATCAATCATGGTAACCAATGTCTGTCCACAGTTCTGAGACTGATCAGGATGTATGAGAAAGAGAAGTCCCTGCTGATGGCCCACGGCTGTGCTGCGGCTACTAATGGCCTGGCCGTGCAGAGGTCAGCGGACGGCCCTACCTGGGTGGCCTGGCCGCATGGTAACCAGGTTTGCCTGCTGCGACTGGACGGGGACCGGGCAGAGACGCGCACCGTGGCTGGCCGGTCCAGCGACGGCGCCCACTCAGTAATGCAGGTAAGGAAGGGAGAGATACCTAGGGGGACGGAGTGCACCCCGTTTGCCGTAAATCGTGACGTAGCCAAATGGGAGGGAAGTCACATAAGAGGAGTTGAGTTGGTTCATGGTTGTGCTTTTAATCAGTCCGATAAGCTAGGTAATTTATTGGAATCGTCTGGCCCCTCAGAGCTGGTGCCTGATCGTTCCTTTTCCCCATCACTGGCTCGCCAGAGTCCCATTTGCTGTGCCCACCTCCACTGTGCGGGATGCTGGCCGGCCTGACAGGTGCGCTGGTGCGAGCTGCGCGGCACCACCTACCTGGTGGTGGCCGCCTCCAACGGGGTGGACTTTTACGACGAGCACGGCGCCAGTCTGCTCTTCTCGTTCCCGTTCAGCCAGGAGGGCGGCGGCGGCAGCTTCACACGCGGCATCGCCACCTTCCTTGGAAAGGCCTGTGTCGGTGGGTGCTCCGCTCGCCCGTACTGCCGAGCGCGTCTGCTGAGGGCACCTCACTGGCTCTGTTTGCAGCTTTTCAGTTTGGCTTGAATGCATGGCAGAGAAGTTCCGGGCTTTTTTCGTTTTGCAGCGATGTTTGCTCCATGCATGAGTACACTTACAGGGCCGATTCAGTTCTTGCACCTTTTGGCCTCGTAGTAAGGGACGGGAGGTGTTATCGCTGTCCATCCGGTTGTCGACCGTCTCGCGGAGATCAGCGGGCAATGACGTGGTCGGCTTTGTCATCTGAGTCGAGAACGGCAGACCAAAACGGAATAATTGCCGGGTCCAGTGCTAAGCCGTTTGTGGTAAAAGAGTTGGTAAATGTGTTTTGAGAGGCCTTTCCCGTATCATTTCTGCTTTGGAGACAACTGGTGATGCGGACACGAGGCACGGTTTATTTCTCAATGTTGCGTAGTTTTACTGTTTTGTGCTACCACTGCTGCACCATTCAGCTGTCATCGCACCAGTTATTATATAAGCTAGAAGTTGATTGTCCCTTTGATGTTTACCTCACTGAAGGTAAACATCTTCCCTAAAACTAAGCCCCCTTCCCCAGCAGTTTCGTCTCCACGTGTGTTCAGGAAAATGTGCACCTGGCTGATACGTTCACGCGCTGTTGTGATGCTAGTGTTGCTTCCTGTTGTGCATCCTTCACAATCGAGATCGTGCATCATCGTCGTGTTTTGCGTTTTTATTCCATAGTTTACAATAGATAGTTCGTTATTTTCTTATCAGTGTTCCATTGTTGTTGGGCCGTCGTTACTCCTTACCTTTGTCATTAGTCAGTCTCTGGCCCTCGTAATTCCGCCATTGGTTCGTGGTTACCCTCGTTTTCCATTTGCTCGCCCCCGTTACCCCACTACCCTGTCGCGGTGCGCCGTCTGATACCCGCTGGTGCATCCCGGTGGTATCCTGTGGCGGCGTGTGACGGCCTGATGTATGACCAGACCCTAACACCACCCCTGTGGCGCCGGCAGGCACCTCGGACGGCTCGCTGCTGGTGTTCCAGCGGGACGCGGCCGCCGGCGCGCCCCACCTGGCGCAGCGGGCGCGCCTGCACGCCAGTGCCATCTGCGCTCTGGCCGGGGACGAGTGTCACCTGGTCTCGTCCGACCAAAGCGGTAACATCGTCCAGTGGGCCGGCAAGGCGGGCGAGCTGACCAAGGTCCGCCAGATCGACCACTACGGGTGGGTGACACATCGACCACTACGGGTGGGTGACAGATGGACCAGTGGGGGGTGTTGGTCCGGTAGATGGACCACTACGAGGTGGACGTCGCATTAGCTGGGAATGGGTTGGTTGACCTCTGACTCAACTGTGGCTGGGGATGGGCCAGTCCCGTAAACTAATAACGTTTTATCACCCACCCGTAAGCTGTGCCGTGCTTCTGATCCTCGTATGTGTCCTGAAGACCTTCGCAGTCTGGGCAGTCTGGACGCCCCAAATCCAGCTCATCACACCCCTGCTTCTCCCCCTCCCCGCCCCCACACACGCTACGTTCGCTGTTCGTTTTTTCCCAGTCACTCTCTCACATCCCCCTCTCCTCGCCAGCTCTGCGTGCACCGGCCTGACGCTGACGGCCCAGTACGTGGTGGCCGTGTACGGCTCGGGCCACCTGCGCCTCTTCAGCCGCCAGACGGGCCAGGTGCGCGCCGAGGTCACGGCGCATGCGCGCTGGATCACCGGCCTGGACGTGGCTCTGGAGAGCGGCCTCCTGCTCACAGTGGCTGAAGACGCCTCCGTCAAAGTGTGAAGGTGTCGGAGGATGGCAAGCCGGTCAGTGGGGGGAGGGGGGTGGCTGGAAGGCAGGGAGGCTGGAGAGGGCTGTACTAGTGTGTTGGTTGGTTTATTTGTTTCTTTGGGCCTTATGGGACGCTGGTAACAATGGTATTTTGCGCCTTTTACGTTGCGTAAGTAAAACATGTGAGTGTGTCTGCTGGGCAGATCGGCTTGGGAAAATATATAGTCTGTTAAGCCGGATTTGTTTTCTTCTTGTCATCCACGTTACTAAGATATGATGGAACTATCTGAACGGTGGATGGGGGGGGGGGGTTGTGTGATATGTAGCACACGGCTGCCCAGCGGCTGTCACCTCATACAGGCGCTCCCGGAGCACTGTATTACCATACGGCGCCCGGCGGCGACAGTCGGTCAGTTTCTGTACGCACAGCAATAGCGTACGTAATCTTATGTCACATTATGGGTAGTTGGAGGCGAGTCGTCGGTTTCTCTCTCTC